ATTTTAACCAAAAAAATCAAAAGTTGATAAATATTCAAGGATAGAGGGAGTAATAATTAGTAGAGATAAACAAAGTTATTCGGAAATGAAATATATTTTGGGACGAATAAATGGAAAAAATAGAAAGTGTTTTTGTAATTGAGAGAATAGTATTTTAGGGAAATTGACTAAACTTTATGTCCATAATGTGGAGTTGGTTGGATTTTGGATGACTCGTTAGAAGATGATTGGTGGAGTAGCCTCTAATGTAATGTATTGTGGCGTCTACGGTACATCAATCCTTGCCGTCCATTTCCGCCTAGTATCACTCACTCCTCATTTCTCAATCCTAAGACTTGTTCAATATACTCCATTTTCCTTCCAAATTAATCTTCCCAATTTAACTTCGTAGAGAGTTTAAAAAAGTAAAAATGTGTTATTAAAAATAATATGACAAAGAGAGAAAAAGTGAGTCACAAAAACTTTCCAAAAAAGTAAGCACAAAATTTAATTTGGGACATCCCAAAAAGAAAATAAAGAGAAATAATTTAGTTTGGAAGGAATACTAAACATGCTCCGTAAATACTACGGAGTACTTTTTCTGCAAGTAAAAGGCACTTGCATTTTAACGTGCAAAATTTGTTTCAGTTTAAAATTCTTTATAAAAAATTAATATTGAAATTAAAATTTGAAATTTACATATTTAAAAATTATGTCAATGCAAATGCTCTATAAAATAAGAGACTTTATGACTGTTTTATATGAATATTATCTAATGATAATATTCATTAGATAATAAAAAAATTATCTAATTCTAAACGGTCTTTGTATTGCATATTAGTATAATAAAAAAATTAAAATTTCTCAACAAGATGAATTTAATAAAACCATTTTTATATTAATAGTCATTACAATTTTTATTTAATTAAAATTCAAAGTTCATCCAATTTGATTTTAAAAGTCAAACTGAATAAATACACTGGAAGAAGAGTTATCAAAATAAAATGTTAGTTAGAGCATTTTTAATTGCAACTTGCAAGTCTCAGTTCTCGTTTTAAATGTGACCACAATGAGTTACATATGCTTAAAATGAGACTCTAGCCGGTGGCGTTGCCTTGTTGACAAAGGCGGAGAGCGTCAAGGGGTAGATTCGAGTTCGATTCCTAACAACTGCACTAGGAGGCAATTATGTTAAGCATAAAGTTTCTGCAAATACTAGATACAAGCTCTACTAATTGCAACCAATTTGTAATTAAAGTCTCATTTATCTTCTCTCAGTGACCATCCAATCGAGTTTGAAGAGATCATGGAGATGAGGTTCATCCTTCAAAATGACTCTAAAATTATGAACATCCATTTCATTCCCAATTGTTTAGATGAACACTTCATGAGTGAAAGGGATAGAAGATTAAGTTGGGACCGACCCACATTTTCTATTTTCATACTCCATCTGTTCTATAAAAAAATCTTCATATTTCATTATTTAAAAAATCATAAAAATTTTAGTTTATTTATTCATTTTCAATGATTATTTTATAAAATAAAATATTTTTCTCCTCTCTTATTTTGTTGAACTTTAGACTTAATTTTAAACTAATATTTTAATAAAATAAAATGAAAGAAGTTGAAATTTAACTTCATTTTCTTTTCTATGTTTTCCTGTCATTTTCTTCAGAACCAAACAGTGTATTATAGAGATTTGGATGCCCGGATCGGAGTATAGGTATATTCTCCTGTGAAAATGCTAGGGGTACACCAAAAGTGTACCCCAAACATCCCCCACCCCTCCATCACCACAAAAAAAGCAAGAAAAATTCAAAAAAAAAAAATAAAAATTAAAAACAAAATAAAATGAATGGTAAAGAGAGGGGTGGTGTACATTTGGTGTATACCTTTGGTGTACCCCTAGCATATCCCATTCTCCTATATGTTAGAAATATAACTTGTTCACTTCAACTTATTTTTATTGAATCATATCATATCAGAAACAACTTTAAATAATATAACTACAATTAGCAGTGAAACAGACAAAGATCAGATCATCTTAGATTTTAATAAAATCAAATCATAACCAATCAGATTACACCAATAAAACAAGCTTATAATTAATGTGGTGCAAGGTGTTTGTTGGGCAGTCCTTTCTTAGAAAGAATAGACATAGGGTCCTCACACCCATTTGAGAAAAAGAGAGCACCAATGTTTATATATATTTCCACTACTATATAGGCCGGTTAGGCCCTACCTTGATTCCCCATCAATTCTTATTATTAGGAGTATCTCCTTTATTTATTTATCTTCTTCGCATATATGCCATGCACGTTGAGCCAAAACTTTTGCCCTTTTTTTTTGTTTGTGGGAATTTAGTTTTACCTACATCATATATACTACTCTCAAGGAAAACAACAAAATAGATAGAACAAAATAGCAAATTAAAGTGCACTAAAATAACCATGCATTAAGATATATTGTGGTTCAACTCATTCAGTTCTTATCTGTAAGAGTACACGGAGTGATGTAATTAATGCTTTATAAAAACAGGGATTCTATAAGAATATAATAATCCCAATAAACATTATTTACATGAAGCCATGAATATTCTAAATTTTTAATATGGAAATTTTCCTTGAACACTCGTAATGTCACCGAAATGGGAATTTAATTTGACTTGTTATTACAATTCCGGTAGGCCAAGAACAACGGACAGAGTGGTGATCGAGTAAAATTAACTATTTACATATAAAGTCGGTATCCACTTTTTAACCCAAAAACTTAAGCTATTAGGTTGGATTTGACCCTTCTGCATATGCTAGCTTAGTAGTATTTCTTTTTGTTTTCCAATGTGGAAACTCTAACACTACCTCCACTCATGTGGCAACTATCTAGTCTGGCCTAGTTAACACTTGTACAAATGGATCTAGCACCTTAATCTCTTATAGCTAGTCCACACAACGGGCGATAGCTTCTCAATCTCTTAAAGCCAACTCAATCCTAACCACGGACAGGTAGCTCATATCGCTAAACCCATGTTTAAACAACCAGGTAGAATCAAACCCGGAGCGAAACTGCTCCGATACTATATTAGGGCAGGTTCAGTCCGGGTCTAAACTCCTGATCTATTGGTCAAGCCTGCCCAAGGCAAGAAAGAAAAAAATATAATGCGCAACCGGCCAAAAATTGTGGGGCCAGGCCGTTGCACTTGAGGGAGGTGTTGGGAGTTCTCTTTCATACCGGAAAAAGAGGAAAAAGAACACGAACATATAAGTTCCATGGTCTCTCTTCCTACCGCCAATTATTTTTAGGATGGAATTCCATGAGCTTGTGTGTTAGACTTATCGCGTAAATACCCACAAGCCGGCGTGTCTCCCCCCACGCTATGTTTGGCCCACTAGACTTTTATTAAGGTATCAGAGCCTTGATAACCATGAGTTCACGAGTTCAAACCTTGTTTTTAGAGTACTTATCAATTTTTAACTTTTTGTAGACAAAGTTGGTAAACTTTGACCATTAATTAAATTAAATTTTAATTAGATATTGATACAATAATATATTTATTAGATTTATCAAGTAAAGTATTTTCAAAATATTGTTTTATATGATTAATATAGAAAAAATATCAAAATTATCCCAACTTTGAATAGTTTCCAAAAATGATCCCACTTTCAGTGTGATGTGTAATAAGCCAACTTTTGATAGGGTGTGTGACTTTTAGATTGTCGTTACCTTCTTCCTTGGCTTGAGCGGCTTGAGTTACACTGTCCAACAAATTTCAAATTCCAAAAATATTGAATTTTTGACAACTGTTTCAAATTTAAAAAATTCCAAAAATATTGAATTTTTGACAACTGTTTCAAATTTAAAATTGTAAAAAAATTCAAATTGAAATGGCATTACAGAAGTGGAAGTGGCCATAAATTTTTTTCCCATGTGGTTTATTCCGGGCTTCACTGGTGTACGTGTAAACATGAATTCTAAAAGTCACAAGGCAAAAATAAGCTGGAGACCCAAGTCAAGTGACCAAGCTAGAGATTTTTAATGTAAATATTGTTGGTCATGTGTGCATTAATTTCCCGCGGCAGAGACTATGTGAGCCAAATCACAATCGAATGTCGTGGACGCTTATGTGTTGAATGCACTATAAGGCTAGAGTATGCGCTTCTTCTAAGTTTTAAGAGAGTTGGTAGCACCTGAGGTCCTACAAATATTATTTTATGGGATGGTTCTCTTGTAAAACTAATAATTTTTTACTTTTTCATATCAAGATTTGAACTCTCGACTTTCGTCATTTAAATTTTCTTATGTATAACCATTCTTTACAATTGAAGGTTTGTTTTTTATATATTCCCATTGATGGAATCAAGAACCAAATATCACCGGGACACACATATATTATATTGTTGCTCGTATGGCTTATGGTTGATTGATTGTTGTGTATAATTGTGAAAGATTCAGATTTGAATATAACCGTGACACATAATGTTTTAGATGAGTAGTTCTACCAATAATTCCAACAATACACCTCTCACATTTGCATTAAGAAACTATGCCACATTTCAATCCAATTATTTTCAAGAACTTTCATAAAATTATAATAAAATATACTCCCGCTGTCCCATTTTAAATTGCCTGTTTTTTTCTTCATCCCAAAGTGAGTTGCATGTTTCTTGTTATTGTAAACTTTTAAGAGTAAAATACCTAAACTACCTCTAAAATAAGTCACTCTTTTCTACCTTATCTTCTCATTCATCGTCACCCCTCCTAAAAAGTAATGACAATTTTGAAAAGTCAACTCTATTTTTTCTCTTCCTTAAATGTCTCAAAGTCAAAACGGACGATTTAAAACAAGACGGAGGGACTATGAAATACGCAATTCATTTGAGAAGCAGGCACCTATATTGGAGCGATAAATACATGACAAACTCGTTCGTTTCATAACGGGCAAATTGGGGAGCATAGACCAAGTCAACCATGAGAGTATTACTTCTTCCGTTCCATGAAACGTCATCGACTGCACATTTACCCTAGTATTTGCAAATGTTTGATTTGTTGTTTGTATGGATCATCTATTCCTAAAAAGATTGTTGAAGAACCTCAATTCGGAGAAGTTTCCATTTTAAGGTTCTACCAAAACAATGATTTGGATACGTGACTTGTTGGGGAAAATGAGCCACTGTCATACTCAACACAACATACTTTAGAAGAAGTATGAAAAGCAGAAACATTTAAAAAAATGAACATTCTTAAGAAGAAATATGGCAAGAATGTTATCATCGGATTTGCGTATGCTAGTACCTCTTTCCAAGAAAAACGCCTGTGATTACCGAAACCAATGCCACACCAAAAATGTGTTTCAGTGCCTTCACAGGATAGGGGGCAATAACGTCATTTACGGCACCAGCTTGAATTTGTGAATCTGACAATACTTCTTGACCAGAAGACTTCATGCTACTCTTCTCATTTGCTCCGGGGGAAGCCACCGATCCAAAGTCCCTCAATTTCACCTCTAGCTGATGATCCTGTAATAAATATATTTAAGACATTATTTCGTACTCCCTCCTTTTCATTTTACATGTGTTACTAAAACAACAACAACCCAATCGTGTGTCATAAGTGGCGTGTTAGAAGGTAGATATACACATGTCTTCCATGTTAGGTCATCTCACAGCGGCTATATATACAAATACAAACCAATACGTAAAGTCTTGGGCTGGAACTCCAAGTCTTAAAACGTCTCTACCTATGAAGTAGAGAGGTTGTTTAAGAAAGACCCTTGGTATTTTACGTGTTCTAGAGAAGTAGTTAATTTTCATCTGTCAAGCAAGTGAAGCAACATGTTTTTCCTACCCTATTTTCTCTGGCACTCTTTTCATATCTCTATTTGTGTTACAGAAGTAACTCTTGATGTAGTAGTAATATGTACTCTCCCGCCCCACAAAGAAGTTGCAATTCGGGACGGAGGGAGTAAGTTTTATTTGATTCTATTAAATTAAGTTGAAATTATGTTACTCCGTATTAACAAAGGAGAAATTTGTTAAGAATGCATACAAGCCAACCTTTTCTTTAGATTGAGCTTCCTCCAATTGCAATTTCTGTTCCAGTTTTTTCACTTTGCTTTCAAGAACTTCTGCTGCACTTTTCATAAGTTGCAGCTCCTCAAAAGCAGCTTCTCGTTCCATCTCCTTTTGAGATATTGTTTCTTTCAGCTTTGTATATACACCATAGATAGAAAATTATTACTCACTCCGTCCCATTAAAAGAGTCATGCTTCTAAACTTATTTTTGTTAAAAAAACCAATTTAAACAAAACAATCTAATTTTCATCATAAGAAGACTGCGAGAAACAGTTGTATTACCTCTTCTTGAACTTGAGCCTTGCTATTTGCTAGTTGTTCTTCAAGCTCCTTCACAAGATTCTGAAGCTCTGATTTCTCAGAGACGTCGGCGGTGAGGATCTTTATTTGTGACTGTAGATCGTCTTTGCTTGACTTATGGTCTTTTAGTTGTTCTTCAAGATCAGCTATTCGACCCCGTAGCTCATTATCAGAATCTTTATACGTCTCAAGGAGTGCCTTGTTTTCCTCCAAAGCTGAAGATAGCTGTGTAAGTTGACATAAATTCAAGATTGAGTTTCAACATTGTTATTAGTATTAATATTAGTATAGTATAAGTTAAGTCTTGGCCTCTTGGGACTATGGTAGGCTTTGATTTAGGCATTAATATGGGTGATTTAGAATCCTTATATTAGCACCCGTCTTATGTATACATAGTCTCTTGTAATATGTTCTTATATCTAATTAAGAAAACCTCTGATTTTCAATCACATGGTATCAGAGCCGCTCTGTTCTATGGTTAGGGTTCACTGTTTATAGAAAAGGCTGCTACCACAGTGATTGATCCACCACCTACACCTGCGCCAGCCTCACACCCTGTGCCAAGCACTTCATCGTTGGATCATATGATCATGCAGATGAGCTACCCATCGCTTTGGCAAAGGTGAGTGGTCTTGTACCTACCCTATTTCCTATTGTGTCTCTTATGATCATTTCTCACAAAAGCTGTATATAAAAATACAAACCAATATTTTACATGTTCTAGTGCAGTAGTTAATGTTCATCTGTCAAGCAACATATTCTGACAGTCTTTTCATATCCCTATTTGTTTTACAGGAGTGCCTTGTGGTGTAGTAGTAATATGTAAGTTTTACAGAGTATTTGATTATACTCTGTATTAATTTAAATTGAAAATATGTTATTAACAAAGGAGAAGATGCTAAGAATGCAGTCAATCGACGTCAACCTTGTCTTTAAACTGAGCTTCTTCCAATTGCAATTTCTGTTCAAGTTCTTTCACTTTGCTTTCAAGAACTTCTACAGCATTGCTCTTAATTTGTAGCTCCTTATAAGCAGCTTCTCTGTCCATCTCCATTTGAGATTCTGATTCTTTCTGCTTTGAATATACACCATAGTTAGAGAACTATTACTCACTCTGTCCCATAAAGAGAGTCATGCTTCTAAACTTTATTTAAATCCAATTTTAAAATTGAATTTTCATCATTGGGAAACTGCTGGAAACAGTTGTATTACCTCTTTTTGGATTTGAGCCTTGCTTTTTGCTAGTTGTTCTTCAAGCTCCTTCACAAAATTCTGCAGCTCGGATTTCAAAGAGAGGTCGGCAGTGAGGATCTCTACTTGGGACTGTAATTCGCCCTTGCTTGATTCATGGTCTTTTAGTTGTTCTTCAAGATCAGCTATTCTACCCAGAAGCTCATTCTCAAATTCTTTATACGTCTCACGGAGTGATTTGTTTTCCTCCAAAGCTGAAGATCGCTGTGTGAGTTAATATAAATTCAAGATCTGAGTTACAAGATTAAAGACAATGTGCTATAAATGCATGTGAGTTTTAAAATTGAGACTTGAAGTTCCATCAAATGGTCAGATAGTAGTTTAAAATATGCTAGCGAATTTTTGTCAAAAATGTCGCTCCTTTTTTGTTTCTATACTACCACTGAACTCCTTATTATTGTTCAAAATGCAACTCAATCCTCTTTTTATTAAGATCTTTGTTCTTTTTATTTTATTTTTAATTTTATCTTTCTTTCTCGGGTTTTTCTCCTCTTTGTCAACAAATTCATTACTCTGTACTTTCCAGTTCTCTCCAATTAAAATATTCATTAAAAAATCAGTTTTAATAAAAAAAAATGTAGCCACTAGCCACTTTATAATACGGAGTATATGATATTTCTTTCTTTTGTCATTAATTTTAAAAAATAAGGCCAATTTTATTAATAAAAATACTACTCTCTCCCACACAAAAAATTGCACTTTATTTTCTTTCTAAGAGTTGAAAATGCACCTTAAAAAAGTTAGCTCCCATATAAACAAATTCCAACTACTCACTTTCACTTTTTAGCACTTCTCTTAAATTCTGTGAGAGTCAAACAAGGGAGTTCTGCACCATGAACCAACCCAATAGCGAGTTGGCTAACTTATGAGTTTCAGCTTCAAAGATGAAACTCATAGTGGAAGGGTGAGAGCTAACCTGCATTTGTATATTTTCCCTCTCTGAAGTTAGCTCCTTTGACAAGTCTTCAATCACTCTCTTCATCCCTTCAACTTCTTCACTCTTATCAGAGATAGCAGTTAATGATTTGGTTTCTAAATCAGTTAGTTTCAGCTCATAACTGGAAACTTTTCCTGAAAGATCCAATTTTTCGGCAAGTAGGCTCTTTCTTTCCTCTTCAAGTGTATCACATCTAATTCTCATTTCTTCAGTGATTCTTTCTTGGTCTCTCCAACTGGTAATAGTCCGTTCGAGTTCCAGTTTTTGGCTTTCAGAAAGGGAAGAAGCTTCAAGAGCTTGTTCTTCGTATCTTTTCACCAAATCCCGAAGAGTGCAGAGCTTTTCAGATAAGTCCTCAGCTTCTAATTCTTTTCGGGAGAGTTTCTGAAAAGCTTCTTCCACCCTCAAATCTGTTTCGGAAATGCGAGATGCAAGCTGTTGAACCGTAGCTTCCTTTTCATCACAGACTAAACTTAGCTTCATCACATCAGCCGTAAGATCACTTTCCACTCTCTCAAGTTTCTGCAGAGTATCATTCAGTTCATTGCGCAACCCTTCAACCAAAACATCCGACTCAGCTAACCTTAGAGTTGAGTTTCTCAAGCATTCGCTCAATTCCTTCTCCTTTTCCACTGCTGCTTCCAATGCAGTTTCAAAGCGTGATGCTTTGTCATGGTATGTCCTAAGCTCTTCTTCTAGTTCTGAATTACGCATTTCTTGCTTGATATAGTCGTATTCCACTTGAGCTATCCGGGCATTGAGGATGTTTTTTTCTTCACATATCTTTGAGAATTTTTCATGCATCAATGCAAGCTCAGACTCGTGGGTTTTCACTTTAGCTTCAAATTCTCCTTTAGCAGCAAGTAGGGAGGCACATCTCACTTCTGCATCTGCAATCTGTTCCTGCAACTGCTTCTGGTTGAGCTCTACCTCTTCACAACTCTCCTTTGTGACAAGGACTTCCTCTTTCAACATTGTGTTCTGAGATTCGGATTCCTTTAAACGTCCAGAGACTTTTTCCAGTTCCATCTCAAGATCTTTAACCTTTTCTTGTGTTTCTAGAAATTCTCTGTTCTTTCCAACAGCGACTTGAAAGCCAACAGTTTCCTCATCCTCTGCTGCTACTGGTATGAGTTCCCCATCAAAAACTGTCATTTCTTCTTCTTTTCCTTTTTTTTCGTCTGGGTGTAACTTCCCATTCTGTACCTGCATCATGAGAAAGTCCTCCATTAAGGCATAGATGTCCTTTCTAATGAAATTATGAAAATAATATTAATGCTTAAGAAATACGAGAGATATATCTGCAATATATTACATTACATTACACACACACACACATATCATAGAAGGTTACCATAATAGAAAGACTACCATAATACAAATACTACTTAATATAGAATTATTATTATTATTATTAGAGGTATTATTGTCTAACACTTTGGACAAAGTACGATGATACATTATCTGTATGGCTTACCTTAGTATGATTATTATTTATTTCATCCACATTTTTAACGACATGTACTTCGTTTGCTTGAGTTTCTGTCTCCATGCCTGAGTAAACCTTGGAGTGCTCAGTCTTTATGAGCTTTCTCTTAGCAACCCCTGCACCACTGTAACCCTTTTTCAAGCAATGATGTTCTCAAAGGCTTCCAATATAAATGAAAAGTCAATATGCACAAATAAAATGTATGATGCTTGAGTAACTAATTTGAATAATTAACAACAAACCGAGTAGAACCCCACAAGACCACAAGGCCTGGGGAGGGTGTGGGTATGCAAACCTTACACTTACTCTAGGGAAGGTGTCTGTGTGTACGAAGACCTTACACCTATTTGGAAGTAAACAAATTTGACTAATTACCCGTAAAATCATATGCATTTTGATTCTCTGGGTTGTGAGTGATTAACAAGCATGGCCATTGTTACAAATTCCAGAAACAAATTAACTAGATTATTTTTGTTTTGACTGGGGAGGCATTTTTTTATTAACGATTTAATTTACTAATTTTTTAAAATGCTACATTAAATATAAAAAAAATGACCCGGCAGTAACTTTTTCCTCTATGCTTGTGTCTACATTCATTCATTTCTGAATGTATCAAGAAAGTCATATTCCCTAAAATACTTTTCACATTTCCCATACATAATACACGAGCCTGGACAGAGTGCAATTTCAACCAGCTGGAATTATAATAATGGAGAATTAACACAGGATAATAATGTCAATAATTTCCTCCCTATTTTTTTGGAGCCATGGCCTATATTAAAATTTGAAACCTTTCCTAAAATAGCGGCAGGCTATTGGACCCCACACATGTGAGGATTCAGGCAAGCAGTCAGTCATTTGCAAACGGAAACACAGAGAAGCAGGAGTAAACGATTTGATATTAGCGATAAAAAAAACCTAAATTGAAACATCGAATTGAATGAACGAATGAATGAATGCGTAGATACGAAGACCAGAACAAAAGACACTCAGTAGAAATTAACAGCTGATTTACAGACGACGGGGCGAATCGAACGCCATTGATGCTTTGAGAAAAGCAGTGAATTCGAGCAGACGCCAGTGGGAAGAGGGGAAGTTGATAATAGAGAGCAAATAGAAATGGAGAGATGTGATCGGAGAGCAAACTTGCCTGATGATGGACGGTGCTGATCTGATCGAGATTCCTCTGGGGTTTATCTCTAACCGTTTCCTCGAGGCTTTCTGCGCTTTCTTTTGTCTCTCGGCTTTTCAACTAAGAGAGAGTGTCTGAGTGAGAGAAATGAGGGAGAAGGTGGTGAACGGAGAAATTAGGTCATGTCTATTCATTCCTCTCCAAATATGCATGACTTTTTTTTATTTGAGTAAATTTCATAAAAAGTCTCCGATTATAGGTCGTTTTACATATTTAGTCCCTACATATTAAATATAACGGAGTATTAATTTAGTATCCAATTATTATATTCATTTTTACGAATGGCCCTTTGTTAACATTTCCGTTAAGAAATATGGATAAAATTCTTAATTCACATTCTTTTTTCTCCTCAATTAAGCTTTCCCCCTCCCCTCGCACTTCTTTCCCAAACTCGTCCCTGAGTTTGAAGTTTTGAACCAAAGCCGAAATCATCACTCTTCTCTCAATTGTTAGTCCCCAATTATTATATTCATTTTCACGAATGGTCCTTTGTTAACATTTCCGTTAAGAACATGAATAAAATTGTAAATTGACATTCTTTTCTCTCCTCAATTAAGCTTCCTCCCTTCCCTCGCACTCATTTCCCAAACCCGTCACTGAGTTTGAAGTTTTGAACCCAAAAACGAAATCATTACTCTTTTCTCAATTGTTTGTCTAACTGGTGGAACCCAAATTTAAAACCAATAGCCTTCATGGATGAATTTTAATGTTTGTTTTCTTTATAATTTTTTGAGACTAACCGATAAAACTTATCCTTAAAGTTTATTGGTTTTGATTTTAGGTTCAAGACTAATAATTGAGAGAGGAATGATCATTTTAGTTTTGGGTTTAAAGTTTCAAACTCAGCGACGAATTTGGAAAGAGTACGAGAGGAGGGAGGAAGCTTAATTGAGAAAAAAGAAGTATGAATATACAATTTTATCCATGTTCTTAACAAAAACGTTAGCAAATGATCATTCATGAAAAATGATATAATAGTAGGGGACTAAATTAGTAATATCTGATATGTAGGGACTAAATATATAAAACGACCTATAACAGAAGACCTTTTATGGAATTTACTCTTTTTTTGAACTTTTGATATCGCTTGATTTTGCTACTCTATTTAATTTTGAAAAATCTTTTACTATAATATTTGAGATTTATGTCACTAAAATATTGACATATGTTATCTTACATTGCATGCTTTAAGTTTTCATTTATCATTTATGAAAGATTATTTATGATAACCTTTAAAATTTGATGAGTTTAAAACAATGTATTTTATATTAAAAATCATAGTTTTTGAACTTATTGAAAATTATGCAAACAAAATAAAAAAAAGTTTTTAACAAAACTTAAATGGATTATTCATAAAAAAGAAAAAATCATGATTAACTCGGTATTCTTTTTCATGAAAACGACAATGGTATTAAAAATATTAAGAGTAAAATATAATTTTTTTTAAAATTATTAATCTATTCTTTTAATTTGTATGAAAATTCATTGAGCTAAAATATAGCTCATCTTATATCACCTAATTAAAGATGAAAAATTTATTTAAAAAATTAGTTCTTAATGGGTCTTAATAATATATTTGATAATTTTTAATAAGAAAAACTTTATGGTTTAACGTATTTTATATCTTTTCAATAATTATAATTTTCTTAAAATTAAAATAATACAGGGAATATAAAAAAAATCTATCAAGATTTAAATTTTGTTATGAGATATTATATATATTCACATCACGGTACCGATAGTCTTTAATAGTTTATTTATGAAATAAGGAGTGTTTATAAAGGATAAGACTTTTTTTAAATGAAAATATTTGCAAAAAGGTAATACAAATTAAAAAAAAATTATTTTCATCATCTCTGTTAGTATGAGTTTTTGGCCCTTTGTTTTCCTTTATTAGAACATATAATTTTTCACAGATAAAAAATATTATAATAAATAATTGAGAATTGAAAAAAATGTGATTTTGATATTCATATATTTATAGTTTAAAGTACCAAATGACACATATATTTTCGAATATAATATATTAAAATAGTTTTAGCGCTCCATGTGGTTTGAAAAGTAGGAAAGGATACATCATTTGTTTTCAAAATTTATTTACAAAATGTTTGTCATTTCAAAAGCTTGCACAGTGCACACGCACCTTTCTTAAACTTCTTTTTTAAATTCTTCTTTATAATGTTTTAAAATTCAAATTACTTTGTATTTGAAATGAAAAATCATAAATAAAAATATAACATATACTTTCTCTATCAAAAGTTAAGTATTTCCCTTTTTAAATTTTTAAAAGTAAACAAATTATTCTTTGTACGTTCAAAAAAAATAGATAAAGAAAGGAAACAAACGAAAATTAGAAAAAGGAAATGAAAAAAAATAAAAGGATATAAACATTCTCTTATTTAAAAATGGAAATGTATCCATAAAATTGGTCGATAAGGTTTTATTTGGAATGTCCAAAAATTTAAATTTTTTGGAAAAAGTTTTTTCAGAATGATAAAAGTAAATATTATTTTTTTGGACCGACGCCTAACAATTTCAAAATTTTGTAAAAATGTCCTCTTATTGTTCTTAAAATTAAAAAGAGTAATTTTTTTGAGACATCTCAAAAAAATAAAGACTTTTTTGGCCATTACAAAAAATTATAAAAAAAAAGGTTCACACTTTGAGAATTGAAATTCATGCATCCTGTTGGTTAAGGGAGAACTGTGGCTACGTTAATTGGTAAGGAGGCATTAATAAATATTCGAATTATTATTAATGTTTATATTTATTTCATAGACTTTTTGTGTATTAATAACACAAAAAAATTGGCGAGAAAAGAAAAAATCTATTATCGATTCACGCAAAATATGAAAAAAATCTATATTTCATATGTTGACTTTAGTCCCACAGAAGCAAATCTCTAATTAATAAAGGATGGGCTCCAACCGGCCGGACAATCATATAAAAAGAGATAAATTGAGATTTAATCACAGACTGACACATAAAGAGTATAACTGTTTTCTACTGTTTTCTAGTATACTTGCAAGAAATCATATCTGAATTTAATTATTTTGGCACACCTTGTTTAACCCTATGAGAGGGAGGAGACATTAATTAATGTATTGAGAATAAGAGAAAAGCAAAAAGTCAATTAACGAAGATTTTGGTGAGAAAAAAGACATAAGCAAGTGGGAGGAAGATTGCTCTACCTATCTTACTAGTCTTGTAGAGATAAACATATACGGAGTACTCCGTATAGTATATGATAGAGACAAAAATTTGAATGAAGAAAATTTAAAGCAAAGGCAAAAAAGTCATATCAAAGGCTCAAAACTAAAGCCATCATTTCCTATCCCTAATTAAGGACAAATTATTAGACAAATACGGAGGATCTATCACCTTTAAGAATTCATAAATTTTTGTAGTATTTTTCTGTGCTAGTATTTATTGGCCTATTATAGATAAAAAATTAATTTATAAACTGCTTAAAAATTAAATATTTTTTCGTGAAAGTAAAATTATGTTTAATAAATTTAATTTTTTTTCTTTTAATACTTTTATTAAAAAAGTTATGTGAGGTCTAAAAGTATATATCTTTGTTTTTAAAAAAAGAGATGGTGTGATAATGATATACAAAGTAAGGCAATTCTATGGTCCATCATGAACCTACATATGAGCAAAATAAGCATTTTCTCACAACTTAAAGAAGCATCTATTTTTTAATTAAAAAAATAAAAAAAGGTTTTTTTATGTGAGAATGTTCAGAAAAATGGTATCCACCCAAGGTGCATCAAAGAAGCACTCACAAAGTAAAGAGTTTGTTCTCTTTGCCTGATCTGTTTGGTTCTGATCTGCTCAGAATAAGTTCTGATCTATTCTGATCTGATTATAGCTATATTTTAAGGTTATTTCTGATCTGGTCTGATCCAATAATTCCAATAAGAATAAGTAATGAATAATAAAAATAAGTTAAAGAAAACAGGTTCTAAGTATATACCTCTCAATATGAAAGTGTTTTCGCCTGGTGATACTTTTTTGTGTTTATTCAACCGTATATAAAAGAATTAATCTTTTTAGACTCTCAACTCTCAAGTGACATAATAGGATAAATGACCCATTCTCAATTACAAAAATCTTAACGCCGTCTTAAAGTTTTTTGGATAAATAAGCTATAAAGTGCTCGATCATAATCTTGCTAGTTTTCAATTTATAGTTGAGATTAGGTTATTATCTCTTTAAATTATTCTTATTTTTTATTTTTTTATTACTCTTTCTTATTGAAATTAGATCAGACAAAAACTTATTCTAATCAAATTAGAGCTTTTAGATCAGATGAAGATAACATGTCTTCATACTCCATCTATCAACAATGGATAGCAATCTCCAAACAAATTAGTATAGAAATAAATACTACGGAGTATAAATTACATCGTTTAAAAACACATAAAAATTCTACAGAATAAAAGGTAGGATTAATATTTTATTTCATCAGATGAGCAATGAAAACCTACAAACAAACATACAAAGTTGCTGAGAAAATATAATAATAAGAGAGACATTCATTTTGAGACAGAGGGATTAATTTTTAATTGGTCAGGGAATGAAGGTTGATTGATGATGTGTGTTGCTGAAAAAGAAAAAAATTGGATAAATTAAAGTCTAGAATACATATTAAAAGTTACTCGTGTGTGCTCAAAAAAAGAAAAAGAAAAAGAAAGTTACTCGTGTTTAACGTAACGGTGTGTTAAGGAAAGTAAAACTAGAAAATATTCTTAGCCAATTGTCCTTTTTGCTTTGGATGTGATCTGCAATCTTGGATAATTGCTTTTACTTTCGGCAATTATCCTTTTATTAGCCTCTACTAGGTACTCCTATTTTCTTTCGTTTACACAATTAATTACGTAGTACTCCGGAGTATATTCTTCTCAAAATTATCGTCACGTTTAACTTTTTTTTAGTTAATTTGAGATACTTTTTTATCATAAATTAAATATAATTTTAAATAAATAAATCTTGTAAAAATTTGATAAATCAAAATTATGGAGTTTATAATTATTTTAGAACGCTTATTTGATAAACACATTAATTGTGTCTGTAGTTGTAACGATATTGAATTTGGAGATTTAAAAGATTACTTTATAGAATAAGGTATTATCAATGAGACTTCATGTGTTTTCACACCCTAATAGAATGGAGAGGTAGGGCATAAGAACCACCATATATATCCTTAATGTAACACATGCCCATCAGTTCTAACTTCTAAGCCTCTATTCTAGTTAAATTTTGTGGCAAATGTAGTATACATACGCTAGCTGATCTTACAATATAACCGGACTTCTTTGTTGTTGTCGGGGGGTCTCTTCGTTTGAAATTTTATGTGCTTGAAGTCCTTTATCTCATATTCGTATTTTTTGTTGATAGATGATAATTAATTACTTCTATAATAAAAAGTGCAACTTGTTTAAATTTGATCCAAAGAACATCCTAGGCATATTTTTTTGGTTATCCTAAGAACGTTCCAATGATTTGTGGACAAGCTCGAATTAGAGGCCAGAGTCTCGGTGGTTGTTGTAATTAAGCACGGCGAAGACTACGGCCTCTAATCGAGAGAGAGAGATTAACAAAATGGGTTGGTTTGGTCCTATAATTACCTACTACTAACCCACGCTTATTAAGGAAGGGGGTTGGTGAAAGAAAGAAAGTAGAGTAGAAACTTCCAAGGGGTGGTGGGGCTGTCCTGTCCTCCCCCACATGCCCAGCAATTTCCGCCGGAGACCCTCCCCGCTTCTTCACGTGTTCTCTTCGCCCCCCCCCCCAAACCATTCAAAAGTCTTCATTCTTCATCTCGTGGCAGGATTCATAAATTTGAAGTTTCCCCAGTCCATTCCTAGCCACAATTGTGTCTAAATTTTGCTTCATCCATCGCAAAAATATTACATACTCCCTCTATCCCTCAATTTTTGTCCACTTTTAATTTTTGGAACTGTTCATCTAAGCACTTTGACTCATCAAATTCTCTCAATGTGTAAGCCTAAATATAGTCATGTGTGATCTTGTTTGATTTGTCTTAACATATAGATTATTAATATATAATTTCTATAATTTTTTAATATATAAATTACAAGATAAAATAGATTAAAGAAGTACATTGCATGGTGTGTAAAAATGAAAGTGGACAAAAATTGGGGGACAGAGGGAGTAAAAATTTTGATTTATTTATACGTTTTAATTAATTATTTGCTAAATTAAAATATCTTTCATTAATTATTTTGATAAATTAATTGTTTGAGATTTTTTTAATATGTAAGTTTCATGCGTCCTAAGTAACACTTCAATTTTTATACCCTTATTTAAATAAAATGAATATAAAAAACTTAAAATTTGTTTCATTTTGTGTAAAGTCTAAAACATTTTCAATTAGAGGAAACAGGGCCGGCTCAAGCCAGGGGCAAGGTGGCCACCTGGACAGGGCCCAATTTTGGAGGGGCCCCACTTTTTTTCTTCTTTTGTATATATTCTATATTTATTATATATATTTATAAAAAAAATAGGTTAAGACTATGAATTATAAATTTATAAGACTATGAATTTGACATTTTATTATTCTTATTATTATAATATTTTTTATTGTTAAAAAAATTTAATTGATAGACTTTATTTTATTTTGACACAATGGCCCATTTTCTCCGTGGCGTCCAGTGTCCCTGATTTCTCGGAGACGGCCCTGAAATGAAATATCTAATATGAAATTCTTTGTGCACACCAAACTCAAAAGATATCTCAAAATTATAAACTAAGATTAAAACTGCTTACAAACAGTTTTTAAATTATAAATTAACTGATGACATGTTTCTATATGCTTAGAAGTTGACTTATAAACTGCTTATAAGCAAGAGAAAATATATTATTCTTAGCTACTTATGAATATTTCTCAATGACTTATATATCATTTAAATTATTTTACTTAAATATTTAATTAATAAGTAATTATAAATTTAAAACTACTTATCAGCAATAAGTCAATAAACACAGAAATACTTCCTAGATTTACCCCGGCTATGGTGGGGACTGGGGAGCCCCTTGGTTGGGCCCTTCAAAGAAATTGAAAAGTCAGTCATGCCCCCATTATGGAAATCTCTTTGCTACTGTTCATTCTTTGACCTTTCCATTTTATTTTATCCTTCTCTACCTTTAAACCCTATATATATAAATACCCTTTACCATTTCATACTTCCAATTTTTCCCTTCCATTATATTCTTCTCTCCCTCCATCATTCATTATTCAATCTACATATGGCCATGAGTGAAACCATGCCGGTGGGCCCAACTGATTGGGCGCAGTTCTACCACCACACCTTGTCGCCGCCGCATCAGCCGATCGCCGATATTTTTGCCGGAGGCGGCCGAGTTTCGGATGCCACGGTGGTTACGACGACCAACGTGACTTCCTCTGCCGCCGCCCTGCCGCAGTCTCTGAGTGGACAGGGAGGCAGCAGACTGAGCCCTGAGGGACGGGTTTCGAAGCCCGTCCGCCGGCGGACCAGAGCCTCCCGTAGGACTCCGACGACCGTTCTCAACACCGACGCGTCCAACTTCCGCGCCATGGTGCAGCAGTTCACCGGCGGCCCGTCGCTGGCGGCGGCGCAGCCGATGGGTCATTATCCGTTCCTTAACCACGGGTCGGGCTACGGGTTCGGGCTGGGGAGCTCCGTCGTCTCCCGCCATACCCAGCTGGGGAACCCGACTCCGGCGAGGACGACGTCCGGCTACCAGTTTCCGTTCCAGACGTCCCAAAGCGGCGGACCCTTTATGTTTCCCGCTTCGCAGCCGATGGGAATCTCAAACTCCGACGACCACGCCGGGACTTCGCCGGGAAGTCTCTCGTTCTTGGAGAGCATTCAAATAGGATCTACTTCGACGTCTTTTTCCGCCGGCGGGAACGAGACCAACAATTTCTTGTTCTAAGACGACGTCGCTTGGTGCTGACTTTTGACAACCACGACGCCGTACGTAAGGCGGGATACACCGCCGGTAAAAATGGACGACAAAGTTTTATTATTTTTCCCGGCGAGGAACGTGTCGGCGGGAAGTTCTTTGTCCGTTTTTCGTGTAGGCGTATATGGGGCGTTCTTCGTCTTATTTTATTTTATTTTACTCCGTATGTTATTCTTTAACCCCTTTTTTCACGCCAAATTGAATGGCAATATATTATGGCATTCACACTATTTTCTTTTCCTTGATTAATGTACTCAGTAGTTAACTTTTCTATCTTGACTTATTATGTCTAGTCTCATTATCTTCTCATATAATCCTCCGTTGAAAAATTATGTACGGCTTGGTTCTATGATATTGAGACTAATGTTAAGGGTAACTAGAAGGCCGTACGATGTTTTGTTTGAAAAATTAATGATTCTACCTTTCGTAACCTTCCCACCTGGCCCGACACGAACTCACTTTACCCCTTCAGTTGCACTCTACGAGCTAAGGTCAAATTTTGATTTCAAACTCAAGGACATTTGGGGGTGCAATTGAAGGGGGTTGAGGTGAGTTTAGGTCGGGTCGGGAGTTAAAGGAACTAGAAATCGTCAATTTTTGGAATGAAGAAACGTAAGATTCTGAGTCATGGAAACCACCCTGAATCATCTTAAACAATAACTTTATATAATAGGGTGCAGTTTCGTAGCAACTAGCTTATTACAGAGTCACTGCCGCTGCCATTGCTATTTTAGAGTACTTCCGATATTTCGCTCGCAAGATTGAGTTTCTTACCCCCCTAAACCCTACTCCGACCACCTGCCTCCTCTATTGTTTGTACGTAGTACAAAGTAAATTATTTCTAGAGGAATCAGGGGTGGTACAACACAGATAAAACGAGACATTGTGTCTAAATGAACTAAAGTCTATCAATTAATATTTCTAATAATATTTTTTTTTGAAAAATTTGAAGTCTCTAAATACAAAAAAAAATACTCTGTACTACGTACAAACAAAAGATAAATATATTCATTCTCAACCTACCTTAAAATATAATGAAGAAAAACCAAAACAAAAAGATTGAATCCACCGAAGGATTAGTTTTTGCTTAGCATAGTCAGAAACTATGTTTTTACAACCCTTTTGATTGAATGAAAATATCTACGGAGTATATTATACTTTACACTGTTTATTAATTATATCCGCCGCTTCCTTTAGCATGGAAAAATAGCACGAATTACAGGTTTTCCAACTGATGATGAAGTATGATATTAGGTGATTTCTAGAATGAAAAAATATAAGCTAAGAAAGGAAAGGAATAAAGATTATTTAATATTTTGAAATGAGAATCTACGCTAAAATCCTTAATATTAATGAACATTGAAATGAGAATCTTAGCTAAAATCCTTAATATTAATGGACATGGGACAACATATATAGGAGATGATGTCAAGGGAAAAACAGTACTCAAGCAATGGCATTGAAAAAAAGTTGAATTTTATTCTTATAAAGAGTAATATAAAGTGAGATTTAAATAACATAGTGGCTATGCATTGTCCTCTTTAATCACCAGAAATTATTATTTTTGTACTTCCTTCGTACAATGACTTTTCTTGTTTTGATTTAGTATGGAGATTAAGACAAGTTAAAAAAATATAAAGATTTCATATGTTTGTTAAAGTAAATTATATAGATGAAAAATTGAAAATTGAGGATATAATGACACATGTTTTTTTTAAATGCCAAAATAAAAAACGAAAAAGAATTTATGCATGACCAGTCATGACCTAAAGAAAAAAACGAAAAGAAATTAATAGAGGGAGAAAATATTTATATTGTCCAAAATTACCTTGAAAACACCGACGTAAAAGGAAAATAATGAGCCCCATACTTGAGGACTCCCTCTGATCCGATTGGACGGTTAGTAAGAGTTAGGGGTGTATACAAATCGAATCGAAGCAAATATATCACTATTCGATTCGTATTCGATTAAAGTGATATGTATTCGAATTCAGATTCGTATACAATTCAAATTTTAAAAAACATTCGTATTCGATTCGATAGATATTGGACATATTTGAATTCGTATTCGAATTCGAAAATAATAGTAATTTTTTTTCTTAAAAGAAATTTCTTAAAGACATTAAATTATTATTTTATAATAATGTAAAATGTAGTAAAAATATGTTAGAATATATATAAATTTATTTATAAATTATAATATTTGAATATGTATAAATTTATATGTACACAAATACTTAATATATTAGAATATATATATAAATTTATTTATAAATTATAATATTTGAATAAATTGAATAATAAACAAATCGAATCTATTAATATTTGTATTCGAATTCGAAAATAATTCGAATCTAAAATAGGATTTGTATTCGGATTTGAATATAGCGAATACGAATCATCTTTTTCGAATACGAATCACGAATCGAATACGTTTTATTTGATTTGTATGCACCCCTGGTAAGAGTAAGTAAATTAAATTTTGATAGCAGATTGGTGAAAAAGAGTAAAGTCTGCACTTATTACTTGCATATGCTCTATGTTCAACCCGATTTCCTTGGCATAGTTGGAAGGTGGTGGGAAGGGATGGGGGAGGGGGGTTGAATACGAGGGGAGGCGAAATGATGGGTCCCACAGACGTGATAAAGACATGTTTGGTGAAAAGTCAAAGAACAATTGGTGCTCATATATATACACGCAGTAGTATTTGCAATCGTAACGGGTGGATTCCAAACACCCGCCCACACATCACGGCGGCTCGCTCCATAATCCACTCCCCGGGATCTCGTTGCTCTGTCTCCAACAATCCCATCCTTGATTCTTTGACATTTTTATTCAAACCTATGCAACTCTCAAGTCAAACCACACAACACCATCCACACATTATGGTCTACTTTGAATTCTTTGGTGGAATTATCGTATATTTTGTCTCGAGTTATTATTCCCGTTTTATATTACGATGTTCAATTTATATTATCATATTCGATTGATTGAGTTGTTTTTAATTTATTTTATTCTAAAATTAGCATAAAAAAGCAAAATAAAATTTATTTATTCATAAAGTGTGTGCATTTCACCCCAACATCCGAAAATACACGAGTAGTCGATATACTTTGTGCTTTTCGTAAAGTGTGTGTTTTATCCTTTATTTTTAAAAAAGCATCTCTCCTTCTTTTATAGACTTTTCCAGACACTATTCACTGGATCAAATATACATAATTTTGTTTACTTATTTTTATTATTCATTTAAAAAATAATATAGTTTTGAAGAATTTTTCATGTACTCCCTCGTCTCATAATTGATTACAACATTTACTATTCCAAAATCACGATAATTTTTTTTATTTGTATATTTTCATTGATTACTTTATAAAATAAAATATTCTTATTAAATATTGTTTTGTAAAAAACATGCTCTTAATGTGTCGATTACCACATTAGACTTGCCAGGATGATAGTCAATGTAGGAGTCATAATCCTTAATCAATTCCAATCATCTTCTCTGTCTAAGATTTAATTCTTTCTAAGCCAGCATGCATTTCAGACTTTTGTGATCCGTGTGAATACATGTGTTTCTCCAAAGAGATAGTAGGGTTTTGGAAAATGCTAGGGGTACACCAAAAGTGTACCCCTAACATCTCCCACCCCCTCCATCACCACACAAAAAAGGCAAGAAAAATTCAAAAAAAAAGTAAAAAAATAAAAATATAATAAAATGAATGGTAAAGAGGAGGGTGATGTACATTTAGGGTACACCTTTGGTGTACCCCTAGCATATCCCTAGGGTTTTCCCCTCAAACTTTCCAAAAATGTACCATTCATTCCCACATTTTTTAATAAATTAAAGTGCATGGTTTCCCCATGAACTTTTAGTACACCGTTACTCCTATGGTCATGCTAGGGTGCCTCCAAATGGTTGCTATTAGTGGTATACTCATGCTTCGCACATATAATAATCATCGGGCATCCTGGCATTTTGCTTACTCCTATTTCTTCTTTTTATTTAAGTTTGGTTTTAAATGTTGTTAAAGCAAAAGAAACATTTTCGATTTCAACCATGTACCATTCTAAAAAATATATGACTAGAGGTGTTTTTTTAAGTTCAAGGTAAAACCCACATTTTATAAAAAGTGTAAGAACTAATGATGCGCTATTGAAAGTTAAGCGGGTGAAACACACACTTATAAAAGAGTTTGAAGGTAAAACACGTACTTTATTATAAGCATAGAGATAGTGCATTTTTTTGAAAATGCTATTACTAAATACTAAACACTGTCCGTACATAATTTTTTCAAAACAGTAATGCTATTCCAAACAGTCCCATTATCATCATCAATCGGGGTAAACATAAAATTTGTGCCTCACCTTGAAGTATGTAGCCCCTTATTATTACGGATCCGTCACCCATACTTCTGATATCAAGCCCATTTTTTACGGGCCGAGTACACAAGCCCATGTTTGGTTGTAACTAATGAACTCCAAATTAAATTCTGTCACGTCAATTTATTTTACAATTCATAAAACTATAAATTACGTTGATTTGTTAGGACTTTTTTCAGGGAGTACAATATGTAATGCACAAGGTACACGCACGCAGACATTAAAACCTCGAGTTCCCGGCGGCGACCAATGACGGCTGCAGCAACCACTGGTCGCCGTTGATGAATGACGCATTGAGGAAAGGGAGAGCTTGGGAGTCATTAAGGTTCTGAGCGTATGGGACCCGCAAAGAAGTTTCCGATCCCGCCCCGGAGCACTTGTACTCCCCGTAGAACACGGACTGGTCCCGGGCAGGGTCATTGAAGTCATTCCACCCCTCCGGGGCGACGACGCCCGTCATGTACGTGTTGGAGAAGACCACGGTGGAGTAGGGCCGCCACGCGCGGCCGAGCCATACCCTCCCGGTCCCGCCCAGCGTGCAGTTCACGAAGGCAAAGCCGCTGTCTTCGTCCTTTGAAGACCGCCCGTGCGCCGTCACGGCGCCGTTTACGGACCTTGTCCCCGGGGGCACTGGACTCGCTATGGATATCAACTCGCAACTCTGCATGTATTATATACACTTACACATGGCCATATTAACTCAATTATTAGAAACATGTGAAAAACAAAATTGGAAAATAAAGAAAATTGTGACAACCTCGTACAAGGATTTGGCGTTGCCAAAAATGAAGTCAATGGAGCCTTGGATGTAACATTCTTTGAAGTAGTGTCTCCCTCTGTCATCATGGAGTGTGTCTTGAGCTCCAAAGAACCCGCAGCCGGAGAACGCGGCTTGGTCTCCGCCCACTCTTATGGCAACCGCCTGAGCTCCCACTGCCCCCGGTGCCGGCATCGGTGCAATATTCTGTACAATTATTCCAGGGCGTTTTAATTATGTATTCTCTCAGTCCCTCTTGGTTTTGATTTGAACAGTTTTCAATGTAATACTTTTATCATTAACATTTTTATTTATATACGAAGTATAAATATTTATTATTCCATCCACCCACCTAAGATGTTCGCGTTTTGACTTTTTGTGGTTTTTAAAGTGAGTTGAAAAAGGTTAAAGTTTACTAAAATATTCGTAACAAATGGATGAAGTAATATGGAGTATTAAAAAAGGTAATGGAAAGATATATGGAGAGACAAATAAAATGGCTAATGAAAAGATATACGGGATACGAAGGGAGTACAAAAAATATGATATTAATTTCAAAACTATATTTTAAGATAAACGTATTGATATATATTAAATTTTATCATAATTCAATGACATGAGATTTGAGACAAAGGGAGTAGAATGACCATGAAGCTTATGTTGTTGGCGACAAAGTTGTCGGAGAAAACTTGAAGAGAGGCGCTATAAAACGTGCCGCCGGAAGAATTGGCCGTGGCGTTCCACAGAATAGCCGTCGTCATGAATCCTTGGCCTTGCAATGTTATGTTCGCTTTCTTTTTCGGAATCAGAACTCTTTCACTAAATCAAATGAATAGTGAACAAAAAAATGTTTATACACTAACCAATGACAAACACACTAAAAATACATTTTATCATCACACTTTAAACGGTTAATATGACTTGAATCTGTATTGTGTTGCCACTACGCAGATTAGTAAACGGGGGTCTCGCCCGTGGACGTAGCCAACACAACGTTGGTGAAGCACGTTAAATCTGTGTTTTTTTTACGTTGTCTGTTTACTTTGATTACACAATTACTCCATTCCGTAATAACATAAACAATGAAGTCTTTTAGGGACGAAGAGTATATAAAGACGGACAAGTTCTATAATCACTCATTTCTTGACCCAAAGTCCACTAAACTTGCATCCCGCAATTGACGTGGGTGAGAGAATAGGTTAAGGTCGAGATTGGGTGAGTCGCTTAAGTTGGACGTATGATCGAACTATCAATTTTGTGAATGAAACAACATACGCGTCTCAATCAAGACAGTGTCCACCACTCTCTTTCAGTGGCCATAGAACCGGGCCGGTACCAAAAAGGTTAAGTTTAGAGTAATAAGTTAATGAGGAACAAACTCACAAATACAAGCCCTTGTTGATCCATATCAAACTCCTCTTTGGGCTAGAGTCCGCGACGGAGTCCACCGCCGCCTGCACGGTGGTGAAGTTGCAACACCCGTTGGGGTCCACACACAGGAGGGAGGTGATGCTAGGATCGAATGCCGGGAAGTCAGGAGAAAAGTAATCACAGATGGAGGTTAGGGTTTTGTTCCGGTGGCCGGGGCGGCGGCGGCGGCGGAGCTGGCCGCCGTGGCTATAAGTAGTGAAGTGGTCCAACAAGAAGTTGGGAGGAGAAAAGCCGGCCAACAAGTAAGATTTGAGTTGCGGAATCATTGGCAGGTTGACGAATGGTTTTGATGCCAAAAAGGCCATCAAACCAACCAGAAGGGCAAAAAGAATGTGTTTAGAGGTCATTATTGTGGGGTTTTATTTTGATGAATTTGGAGGGTATAAAGGGAATGTTAATATTGTGTGTACATGTAATAAGTGTTTGGGGGATATGATGTGAGGATTTATAGTAAAAGATTATGGAAGCTAGCTGCAGTAGTGGTTTCATTTCATATCATTTGTTTGAAGGGAAGTGCAAGGGAAGATCATATGGGAGGGATTGCATGTCTTGCAAATTACCCAAAACAGATTTTTTTTTCTCATTGAGGCAAAACCCTCACATGCATTTCCTGCCCAAGTTGGCATGTTAGAAGTGCATAAAGTAATCCAGACGGTTCCTAAGACATTGCCCGACAATGTCATAGCATAACTCGGGTGTGTTTCGGTGTCATGCTCATAAAATTGACAGTTCCTATCCCTCTAATCCCACGGTAAACCTCATCTCGTCCCGACCTGAACACAACCTCCCACCCCCCAAGTTAATTTTGATTTTGGAGTCAATTTTTTACTCCAAAGTCAAAATTAACGTGGGGATGCAATTGAAGGGGGTCAAGGGTGTGTTCAGGTCGGGGTGGGGTGGGGTTTACCGGGGAGTTGGGGGTAGGAACGATTAATTTTACGAACGGAGCATCGGAGCGCCCCGAATCATCTCATGACATTACCAGACAATGTCATGGGAATCGCCCCGTAAAGTAATACTCCGTAAATTAATTGCTCTGTTCTTGAAGAAAAAAACTAGGGATACACCAAGTTCACAAACATACACAGACAAACTTGATATACCACTAACACATTTCTTATAAGAAAAATCTACTGAAAAAAAATCAAAACAAGAAACTTATACCAAAACAAGACCTACGAGGTATATGATTTAATCCTTAATTAAAACATAATTTCACATTGTCGGTCTAATGACATTTCATAGTGTTTTTTATATTTTGTATAAACAATATTTGGCAGTATAAATAAAGGCATGTTTTTTTAAGTTGAAAAAATGCACTTGAAATTTTGAAGAAGTTGAGAATAGCTGAAGTAATTTCATGCTTTTATTAAAATAATATGTTCTAGTACTTCTTTTGTTTTTAATATTTAGAAGGGAGGAAGTATTATTATTATTATTATTATTATTATTATTATTATTATTATTATTACGGTCTAGTGGCTTGACAAAAAATTATAGTGAAACTGGGGGCCGGAGCATGCATTAAAAAGATCAGAGGAGAAGAAATTCATAAAGAAAAAAAAAAGTGTAATTGAAGGAATTTAAACTTGGAAGTTACATCCCCATGTTCTGTACTCTACATTCTGCAAGTTGTATGTTAGTTGGTACGTACATCTTGAATTTCTACAACTTGTGATCCAATTTTTTAATATTTTATAATATGAAAATTTTTAAAATTTTTAATTTTTTAGAATTTTTTAAAATTATTTAGAACTTTTAACCAGACCCTACTGTTGTGTGATTCAACTGGGTTGTTGTTGTTGTATTTAGAACTTTTAAAAAATTATATAATAGTATTTTATAAAAAAAATTTAAATATTAAAGGTTTCTTGTCAAAACATATTTATAAAAAAATGTAACAATTGCATATTTTTCTCAGGTGCTATGCTGGTACGAGAACCACGACGAAGGATGTTGGGGTGACTATGAACTAACCATTCCCGATGGATGGGACTACATGCCCTAAGTCTTTTTTCTGTTTGAATTGGCGATTGATGTTTTTATGCAACATGTTTAGGTAGAGCTGGCAAATCGGCCAGTCAGGTCGGGTTCGGGTTCGGTCACTTCGAGTTCGGGTTATTTCGGATTCGGGTCAATTTGGGTTCGGGTTGAGAACTCTATGTTCATGACCCAATGTCATCGGGTTCGGGTTGACCCAACGGGTTACGACTTTGGTTTTTAAATTTTTAAATTCACATTAACACTTACATTTTCTATTTAATAAGTTTAAAATATCAAAAAAAATGTATTAAATTTATTAGATTATTTTATTTTAAATTATGAAGTAATTTTTAGATATATAAATCAATATAAGGAATTTAAAAAATGCTTAAGTTTTAGAAAAAAGTAAGATTATTATGCAATATAATTAAAATTTTGTCTGAAAATATAAATTTATACACTAAAAACGAGTAGTAAAGTGTATGATTTTGAAAAATTCTTACTTTAGCAGGTCGGTCAGGTCGGGTTTGGGTTCGGTCGGGTTTGACCCATTTTTAGCAAGTCATTTCGGGTTCGGTCAACTTCGGGTTCGGTCATAAAACCCTTTGTTCAAAACCCAATGTTTTCGGGTCGGGTTTCGGGTCAAAAACAGGTCGGGTCATTTTTTGACAGGTCTATGTTTAGGGAATGTACGTACTTTGGTGCATGTTATTTGCCGATGACATCGTACTCATCAGAAACGAGAGAAACTCTATGATAAACTAAAGAAAAATTGAGTCGTCAAGCCTTCAAATCCAAATATTTTCAGTTGATGAGCAGGGCTAAAAGTGGGTATGTTGAAATGTTGAAAGGTTCGTGCTTTAGCGGTTGGGCGAGTGAGGCAATAGAGGAAGAGAGCAACTCACACATAATGCTTAAAAGAGACAAATTTCACTATCTTGATTCGATGACCCAAGAAAATGAATGTTGGGTGAGAATATTATATTGATCATCGTACTGTATCATATGGGCATAAAACAGAGGCTAACTTTAGATGCTTTTTCTGAAAAGAAGATATCGACAAATATGAAAGAAAATTTTTATCCATTAATGGTAAGAACAATCATATTATATGAAACACCATGTCAAGCACTAAAGAAAACCATGTTCATCATCTTCAAATAGCAAAGATGAGCATGATGAGGTGGATGACTGGTTACAAGAAATAGACTCATTTATTAACAACAAATGTTGATATTTATAATAGTACTACATTGTAATAGAGAAATTTATATGGTAATTGTTACTCGTATTTTATCAAAAACAATTATGTTTTGGACTGAATAAGATTGGGCCTTGGCCAATGCCTCGTTTAAGTGGGCCGCGGTGCATTTCTCTCGGTATCGAATACGCCGTACGCGTGTAATCCGGGTTAGGCTCCGAAATTCCCTCCGGGTCCATTTTATTCTCAATTACGGAGTATTATTACTACGAATAGTTTTTATTTTTGATTTAATGTCAAAAATTTACGCAATATCTTTGCTAAATGGTCGTCATTAATCCGAAGGATATAAACGGCCAAGACCGGAGGGCGGCCTCACCGGACGGGAACAAAAAGAGAAGCAGAATTACGATGTCAGAAAGCGGTGGCGTTTTATCGGCGGCGCCGGGGGAGAACCACCGCAGCCTCTCCGCCTCCAATTCTACCCCGAGTAGTATTAATAATAACAACAATTCAATTCCCCATGCTCCGCCGCCGACCGACCGGCCGGTCCGCGTCTACGCCGACGGGATCTACGATCTTTTCCATTTCGGCCATGCCCGCTCCCTGGAGCAGGCCAAGAAATCGTAAGTCTGTTTCCCTTTCTTGAATTTCTTTTCTTTTCTCTCAAATGATTTCATTGAATTTCTCCGAGCGACCGCTGCGCGTGTTTTTCTGGGAATTGAAAGACTCTTCCTTTTTCTTCTGTAATTCTTAGCAGATTCTGATGTTTTTATGCAGGTTCCCAAACACGTACTTGCTGGTGGGATGTTGCAACGATGATACGACGCACAAGTTCAAGGGCAAAACCGTCATGACAGCAGAGGAGCGTTATGAATCTCTCCGCCATTGCAAGTGGGTTCTTAGCCACTTTCAGGCTCTACCCATAATTTGTAAAGTAATTTTATTTGTCTTGGGATTGAATTTCTGGGATGATGGCTCAAATTGTTAACACCCACCTTTATTTGGTCACATTTTATAGCCATGTTAAGAATGCATGCTTACTATGGTGAACATATTTGAGATGGTGATAGCTATATTAGAAATAGAATCGAAGAACACCCTCGAAGTGCTTTACTAGAAATTGTAGGACGAACCGCACAATTCTTTCTTCAAAAGGAAATTGGAACCTTATCTTGGGACGGGCAGGAAAGGAAAGATGAAATCTTTTTTGGGATATAGAGTATTTCAAAACATACTTTATAACTTAATGAGTATTTATTTAACAGTGTGATGAAATTTTTTAGAAAGCGATTTCATACTTGTGGGATTTTATTGAGTATGTTTTTGTTGTGTCATGGAGTATGCGACAATAGGAAACGCTTACCATTTCTTTTGCTGCCGATTTTCACTACGTGTAGGTGGGTTGATGAAGTTATTCCTGATGCCCCATGGGTGATAAATCAGGAGTTTCTTGACAAGCACAAAATTGATTTCGTGGCCCACGATGCTCTTCCGTACGTCTTCCTAAACTTATTTGTTTCTTGTTGCCTCATACCCCTGCCACTTTTTCCACGAGACTTGGAGTGGTAATTTATGTTGTTTAGTGTATTTTCTTTGTCATTTTATAGTTATGCTGATACTAGTGGAGCTGGAAAAGATGTCTATGAATTTGTAAGCATGATGTTTACATTTGATGCGTTTTAAACAGAATCTTCATTCGCTGAAAAGGGGTCTCTTTGCAGGTGAAAGCTGTTGGGAGATTCAAAGAAACACAGCGCACTGATGGGATTTCGACTTCAGACATCATAATGAGGATAGTTAAAGATTATAACCAATATGTCATGCGCAATTTGGATCGTGGATATTCGAGGAAGGAATTAGGTGTCAGCTATGTTAAGGCATGTTCCTTTTTTTCATAATTCGTTCAGCGGGAAGCTTTATAATTATTATATACATTTTATTGGTGCCCTTCGAAAGGGTTTGAGAAGCCATTGTTTATTGTGCAAGCAGGAAAAACGCCTGAGAGTGAATATGAGACTGAAGAAGTTGCAAGAGAAGGTTAAGGAGCAACAAGAGAAAGTTGGCGAAAAGGTAAAACCTTTTTTCTGCAGAGTGTCTATGCAAAAACTTTTATGAGTTGACATTTTTATCCGATCGTTATCCAAGATTCAACAGATACAAACGGTTGCAAAAACTGCGGGTATGCATCGAAATGAGTGGGTTGAAAATGCCGACCGGTGGGTTGCTGGGTTTCTTGAGATGTTTGAGGAGGGTTGCCATAAAATGGTAAGCAAGACAAATGTCACTTTACTTTTTCATGCGTCTCAAAACGATTTTCCCACTTTCGGGCACAAAGGGAGGGTGTTTTTAGACAATATAGACATCTGAATCCTCCATGTTTGGGGGGGTTTGTATTGCTTTACAGGGAACTGCCATAAGGGATCATATTCAGGAAAGGTTAAGAGGGCAGCAGCAGAGTGGTCTGCTGTCCCATGGGAGTAAAGACTACGATGGTGATGATGAAGAGGATGATGATGATGAGTACTATTACGACGACGAGGATGAAGACGTAGAAGATGACGAAGAATATTACGATGATGGTGATGACGACTTGAAGTGCCATGAAAGTACAGACATAAAGAAATAATCTTCTCTTCATTGTTATATATTGTACAGCTAGTTTTTTTTTTTTTTGTTTTTTGTTTTGCTTTGAATATATATATGTGTGTGGCATAAAGATTCAACCTGTTTATGCTTTGTTAAATTAGGAGAATGGTAGAAAAGAAAGACTAACATTTTGTACGATCTTGTTCCGGTTATTGTGTTTTTTTTGTTATTGGGGTGGTTTTTACTTTTTGTAATCGCCCAAAGTTCTTGAGTTTAAGAGTTAAAAAAAAGAGAAGAACCCAAAAATGACTAAAAGAGTGCAAATTTATAAAAATAAGACCCCTTGAAAAGATTTTGGTAGGGCTAACACATTTCCCAATTTACCCATGGAGATAATAATTATTCCATTGCCACAGTATCAACTCTGCCACCACATTGCCAATAGTCCAACACCACTGTGCCACACTGCGACCACCATCATTGCCACACTGCTACACTTTGCCACCACACTATCACCATCATCGCCACCACACTGCCAAACTCCACCACCATACTATCGCCACGGTCGAAACTAATTCACCCCTTTTAAAGTTCACATAAGGGCACTGGAAATACTCTTGAAGCCCCGGGGCTTCAAACCGGGGCTTCAAAATTTCTCTCTCTGCCACGTCAACTTTAACTTACCTCACAGATTCACTGGAAATGGATTTGAAGCTCCGAGGCTTCAAACTGGGGCTTCAAACCTTCATTTTTTACATTTTTAAATATACATCTTCTAAATTTAAATTAATTTATTATTTAAATTAATCGCAATGAGACTAGTGCATTAAAAAAATTACATTCATTAAAAAAATATTACATTCATAAAAAAATACATTCATAAAAAAAATTAATCCAATCGTCAAAACAGGCGATTGATCAAGAACGTTGATGTCGTTGTTCGAGCCCGCGACACCGAAAAAAGCGTGCCAAATCCACAAGTCATTTGAAGCAACAGCTTCGAGCATGATAATAGGTTTGTGATGATCTCCCCGGGAGAATTGACTGTGCCACGCAGTGGGACAATTTTTCCATTCCCAATGCGTGTAATCAATACTCCCAAGCATGTCGACAAAGCCGTGTTTAGCGGCATGCCTTGCCTGTAACTGCTGAATGTCGCTCGTTGTATGCTTGCATAAATATCTTTTATGATAAATTTGAATAATAGCTTTAGAAAATTTATAAACACATGACCTGATGCTCCGAGCCGACATCTTCAAGTATTCGTCGAACATATCAGATACCGTCCCGTACGCGTGAAGCGTTTAGAAGTGAAGTGTGGGCAGTCGCTCGATCCCGGTTTAAACGTTGTCGTCGGTTCCGTCGTCGGGAGGATTCATCTTCTTTTTCTTTGCCTTTTTCCCACCATTGAATACAACTCGTGGCGAAACAACGAAAAATGAGAGCTCTTTTTTCATCGTCTGATGAAGATGATCCCATTTTTAAAATATATTTTATAAATATTTATAATAAATAATAAATATTTTAGAGAGAAGATAGTGAGAAATGTGTGAGAGAAATGTGTGAGAGATAGATTTTTTTGGGGAATTTATAGTTTTTTTTTTAAATTTAGAAATTTTTTTATTTGGGGGGGGGGTAACGGCTAAAATGGAGGAAGCCAACGTGTCAAACGAATGACGCTAAACGAATGATGCTGAGGTAACGCCGCAGGGGGGCGGTGTTTAACACCCCCTGGGCGTGAAAACACCACTAACGCTGCTCGGCGTTACGAGAAGTATCACTGCTCTAAAGCCTCCTAATCCAAAACATCAAACCAATATCATTGTAGAACTTCGCAATAAATGAGAGGTTTAAAATAAATGAATGAATGAATAACATGCAAGTATTTGACTCGGAAGAAATTCCAAAAGAGGAAAACAATGAAAATTTGCAGCATAGAATCTATAGATAGTGCAGGGGGTAAAATCAGAATAATTTACACCGTTCACTCCTATGGAAGGAAATATAGACATGTCACTCATACCGAAAGAAATATAGATATGTCCGTCCTATTTTGGGCTTTCATCTGCTTTTTACTTCTATTAGAGGAGATTTCTAAAAAAAATACTGGTTTTCAATTATTTTACTGTGTTTAAGAGCTAGAAAGACTGAATAGATACATGTGTAGCCTAACTTGTATGAACGCGAGAATAGTGATAGTGATTACAAAACACACAAGAAAAAGGTAATTCAATATTCAAATCCCTTCTAATGAAGATTTACATTATATATAGGTGAAAGTGTAATGTCAATTACTCTCAACAAGTGACTTACATTGTGTACATGTGATTGACATCATTCAAATAATCACCCAGACATTCATAACTTTGACACTTTCACTGTTGTTTAGTGGACCAGACAATAATATACGGAGTATAATCTAATTTTTGGCATTGCTCGATGGCACGTAAGTCTTAGCCTTGTGTCTTCATCAACTCCTTTGCAATTTGAAAAGAGATTGGTCTAGATCGATCCAAACTAGTTTTGACCAGGTTTCGGATCAACTCTGGTGGAGACCGAATAATGCATTCCATAGTGATAAGTGTCTATGTGGGATATAAGACCCACCCTTTGCGTATTTATTTTTGATTTGGATGCTTCACCGTGTAATTGAACCATCTTTATGTCTCCTCATTCCATCAAACTTATTGGAGAGTCACAAATTAAGTCTCAGAGCTCAAGTTTCAAATAAAAAAATTCTAGCATTGACTATTGTTACACAGAGAGACCGAGGAACTATTGGTGTAACATTTTTTAAAAACTCAAAAAAAAAAATGGTACAATTTTTAAATTTTACGGTGAATAATTTTTGCAGAGTTCAAACATAAACAGTGCAAAAAACTCTTCATCTCATGTAATCCTTGACTCTATCATTGCCTAGGCCATGGGGTGTGAGCGTTCGACGTTCGCATCCGATTTGGCAGCCGGTCTTGACGAGGAACACTGCTCCCCCGATCGGGGCTCGAGGCGATGGGCATATGCACGCCGACTTTTACGACTGACAGGTTTTGATTTTTTTACGAATCGACCGTTGGTTCTGAATTTAAAAAAATCCTTTTGACTGGCAAGTTTTTTTAACTTAATGTATTTATTTAAATTAAAATAATAACAAATGTTATAAAAGTCATAATTAAAAAATAAAAAAAGAAAAAAATAAGCCCCATCCCCGAGAACTCTCTCAGACCCAGCCGGACGGTCATTGAGAAGAGGTAAATTGGACTTTGGTCACAGATTGGTGACAAAAAGTAAAGCTTATACCTGGTACTTGCAGAGACCCTAGTTTAGTATAATTGACTCTCATAGCATTTGTCAAGAATCGAACTCAAATTTTACCTCTACTTAATTATAAAAATTAAGAATGTAGAAGTGAAGGTGATATTGATTACGGAACACACCTAGCCGCCTTATATTGACCATTGGACATACCAATTAAATCTCAGAGCTCAATTGTGAAACCAAAAAAAAAAAAACCCAGAGCTTGTCCATTCTTCCATAATCCATAATCCATATCCATCAACATGAAGAAAACAGAGCTTGTGATCATCCCCGCACCCCTCGTGGGCCATATTGTCTCCATTGTTGAGCTTGCCAAGCTTCTGCTCGACAGAGACCACCGCCTCTCCATTACCGTGCTGGTCATTAACCACCCCGTCGACCCTGCCGCTAACACCGCCGTCGACGCCGTTCTTGCCGCCGACCCAAGAATCCGGCACTCCCGTCTCCCCGAGACAGTGCCGCCGCCGCCGCCGGAGGTGCTCCACAAGTCCCCCGAGAACTTCATTTCCACCTACATAAAAAGCCATACGTCCCTTGTCAGAGACGCCATCGTCGAAGACGTGCTGCCGTCGGCCTCCGGCGACTCCTTGCTCGCCGGGATTGTGTTCGATTTCTTCTGCAGCTCGATGGTGGACGTGGCCAAGGAACTCGGAGTTCCTTCTTACCTGTTTTTCACCTCCGGCGCGGCGCTCCTCGGGTTGAATCTTTATTTTCCAGCCCGGGAAAAGGAATACACCCTGTCGGACCCAGACACGGTGGTTTCCACCTTTGCCTGCCCGATTCCGGCTAGGGTTCTTCCGATGTTCGCATTTGTGGAAGAGGGTTTCAAGTCATTTGCCGAACACGGCAGAAAATTCGCCGAGTGTGATGGAATGATCGTGAACACGTTCGAGGAATTAGAGCCACATGCTATCAAAGCTCTGTCGTCGGATCCGGATCTCCCGCCGGTTTACGCCGTCGGGCCGATGCTTTCCCCTCAGAAGCACCACGCCGGGAAGGAGGAGATCCTCGATTGGCTGTCTCAGCAACCGCCGTCGTCGGTGGTGTTCCTCTGTTTCGGAAGCCAGGGAGGGTTTGAGGCGCCGCAGATCTGTCAAATTGCGGCGGCGCTGGAGCGGAGCGGGCACCGATTTCTCTGGTCGATTCGGCGGCCGATTTCAATCGACACGCACGCTCCCGCCGGGGAAGTGCCCGATTTTGACGAGATCCTGCCGGAAGGGTTCGCGGAGAGGACGAGAGGCAGGGGGAAGGTGTGCGGGTGGGCCCCGCAGCTAGAAGTCCTGGCGCACGGCGCCACGGCGGCGTTTGTGTCACACTGCGGCTGGAACTCGGTGCTGGAGAGCGCGTACCACGGCGTGCCGATCGTGACGTGGCCGATCTATGCGGAGCAGCAGCCGAACGCGTTCCAGGTGGCGAAGGAGCTGGGGCTGGCGGTGGAGCTGACGCTGGATTACCGGAGATCGGAGGCGGCGGAGCGGCTCATATTGGCGGAAGACATAGAGAAGGTGATCAGAAGCGTGATGGATGCGGAGAATCCGGTGAAGAAACGCGCCAAGGAGATCGGAGAGATTGGGCGGAAGGCGCTAATGGACGGCGGATCTTCGTCCATCTCTCTCGACCGTTTGATCAAGGATATTATTAATAATAGCATCAAAATTACTTTGTCCCACTAAATTCGGTCCTTAAATAAACAAACAAATTCTCCATACAAAAATAATCCTGTTTCTATTGATTATTTTTTTGCCTAATTGAGGTAGATCGCACATTCTCGATCATTTTTGAGGTAGAAGATGATTGACGAGCTTCCCCAATTGTGGAGAAAAATATGTTAGTGAAGCTCAATTCAAGACAAGTAGTACATGTTATTATTATTTATGAACTTCATCAAAATGTCTTAATCTCTTATTTCACACTTTTTATTAAATAAAAAGGATCACACAACCAAACCTTGAACCTCAATTGAGAGTAACAATGCTTTTTTGTAGAAGAAAGGAGAATTTTTTTAAAGGAGTACATATATTTTTATTAAAAAATAATAAAATATTTTTAATAAAAAAGGCTAAACTCTACCATTAGTCCTTCAACTTTATCAATTGTGCACGATTGGTCCTTAAGTTTTAAAAATCCATAAATAGTCCTTCAACTTTATGAGTTATGCACGATTGGTCCTTCAAGTTTTAAAAGTGCATAAATAGTCCTTCAAGTACACGTCAACCCTCTGTATAAGGTCCTTTAAGCAGTAAATGTTAAAAGCTAAATGGAATCTTAGCTCCATATAATACGGAGTAGTCGTACCTAGTAGAATTTATTCGTATTATATGAAACAAGTATTTCGTTTAACTTTTACTCCCTCCGTCCCAAATTATAATGCCTGTTTACTATTCACAAGGTCAAACTTCATTCACTTTCTTTCTCTATTTTCGTTAGTAAATTGATAAAATAAAATATTGTTAACACTACTAGTTTTGTAGATCTTTTGATGTAGTATTTTGATATGTAATTTTTATTTTTTAATTATATACCATTTGTCATTTAAAATGATTTAAAAATAATTTCAGTCAAACATCGTAAACCGAAACAGGCGTTATAAAATGGGACGGAGGGAGTAATATTTACTGTCAAAAGGACTTCATATGGAGGGTTGACTTGTACCTGAAGAAATACTTATGGACTTTTGAAACTTGAAGGACCACTGGTGCAGAACTCATAAAGTTGAAGGACTATTTATGGACTTTTGAAATCTGAAGGACCAATCGTGCACACCTGATAAAGTTGAAGAACCAACGGTGGATTTTAGCCAATAAAAAAATACGTTAAAAATGTAAAAAATGATAAAAATAATGATTTGCCACTGCAGATATACCACTCCACTCATTTGCCACACGCTGACTGAATTAGTTTTAATTGACTAAAAGATTTCACGTCACCGTATAGCATTTCATTTCTTACTTGTCATTGTGCATGCTCTAAATTCTATTCAATTTCATAAAAAAGAACCAAAATCAAATATAAAATTACTCATCTGAATTTAATTCCAATTTGGCTTAAAATCAAACATCTTTGTAAAAAGTAATGAACAACCCCATTTCTAACAAAAATGATAAAATACAAACTACCTAAAAATGGGATTTGAACATTTACTTCCAACCCAATTCGAACCTCTCCGTAATTCATATAAGGTAATGTTTAGGAACTAGATTTCATTTAAAATATTAGGATTTCGATGCCAATATTTGAAATCTCATAATTTTAAATTCTAAATATTGTTTGGTAAATTAGAGGATTTCAATTTTGGAATTTAAATTTTGAAATCGATAAAGACACTGACGGAAGCATTTTGATATTTATGGACTTGTTATTGCATAATGGGAGATCGCTCTTCAAACCCAAGTTATAAATTAAACAAAAGTGAGGCATGAACTTGTAAATGACGACATTGGTGAGGTGTTGATTTGTAATTGACTTTCTTTTAAATTAGAAGAATTTGGTCAAAATTCAACTCAAAATTTTTTGAGTTCCAAAGAAATAATTTAGTTCAAATCTAAATTTGAAGTCTAAATGTAAATTGCCAAACACACAATTAAATTATGTGTATGCCCTAAATTAAGTACTTCCCAAGAGGATTCACTTTGCTTCTAAAAAACGAAAGCCTCACTTTCAAACAATTAATAAGCACACTGCTATCGTATATAGTTCGAAACTATATTCATTCAATTTCATTAAAAAAAACTCGAATCAAACCTAAAATTACTCATGGAAATGTTATCATCCTAGTGACTCAAATCAACCTCACATGAAATTAAGCAACTCTTTTGATAAATAAAGTAATTAGTGCTCCACATGAGCTCCACATCAACCTTTTTGAGTTAAGCAACTCCTTAAGAGCTTTACATTAAAGATGTCCAATGACGTTAGTAAAACGTACTCGCTCCGTTTTAAAAAGAGTTGCATGTTGTTTACGAGATTTGACAGAAATTATTTTCAAATCAATTTATTTAAAAATTTGTTAGAACTTAAAAAATAAAATTTACTCCGGTATATGTTTAAAATTGATGAAAACTACGAATAAATGAAAAATAAGTAATTTTTAAATAGTAAACTGTGGCATTCTCATTGAATAGTTTTAATGAATTTGACTAGATTTCTTATTTGACAAATAACTAAAAACAATTTAATTATTTTACCCTTATTATTATATATTTATTAGGAAATATTATCCAAAATAACTTTACTTGTTCTTTTAAAAAATAATCTTACCTTTTTCACAGTGATGCATAATGATCTCAGCTTTACTGAAATTTGTGAGTTTTGAGTCGCCGTTAAACAACTAACGGCCGGTTAACGCTGCCTATTTTGTGCAACAAAATGAAAGTTAAGATCAGATTATTTTTTATGAATTTTCATTTTGAATTTATTTGTTTCTTTTTTTTTTTTGAAATTTTCTCTTAAACTTTTGAAATGAGTTTCAACCTCCATCATTTATTTTTAAAAGATTAGTCTTACATACAAAAATTAAAAAAAATACGGAGTATAAAATAACATAAATGAGAAAAATAAAAAATAAAAATTTAAGGAAATTAAAAAATCAATAAAAACTTATATAAAAGAGATAAGAAATAAAACTAAAATATTTAGAGAGGTGGGTTCTAGCGTAACGTAGGTAACATATATATTTATTCAAAAATATTACGGAGTATAAAACTTTTGTTCTAATTTTGAAATAGGTAACATATATATTTATTCGAATTCATAAATAAAATAATTTACAAAGATACAATTTTACATATTACTTGAAATATAAAATTTATTTAGAGATTTTTGTTGGTGTTGGTGTAAAAGGTAATTCGATTGAACTCATCGGGGGGAGGAAGTTGAGAAGTGAGTGGGATTGGTCACGGGGGGGTTGACTGGCTATGATATATGATATGGTTCACGGGCGGCACAGTACACACGCAAAAGGCCAGAGACAAAAGAACCAATAATAGTACTCTCTCTCCATATGTCACTATAAAAGAATATTTATCAATCATAAAAAAATTATTTATCTAAATAATTTTATTAATTATTTGATAAAATAAAATATTTTTATTATCTCTTATTTTGTAAGAAAAAGGACTAGAGTAAGAGTAAATTATAGAAAATGTATCAAAATAGGAATTCAATATTTTTACTTCCAAAATAAAAGTTAAAATGCATATATAATGTCAATCATGACATAAAGACATTTCTTAGAAATTTATGCAAACTTTTATTTTGAAAATTCAAATAATACGTTTCTATTTTGATACTTTCTCTTTGTTTTATTTCTATTTAGAATAATTTCTTTATTTTGTAAAACTTTTGATATACTACTTCGCCCTCTAAAAGATTGTCACAGTTTGACTTTATGAATTATGAAAAAAATATGTTTATTTATAATGTAAATTTAGTAAACTTTTAATTATTATAAAATATAGCTTTAAAATATAAAATTTTTATAATATTTAATTATTTTAAACTATATTTAATTTTTGGTTAAAAGGTGTCACAATTTGACCAATAATTTCAAACTGTGACAATCTTTTAGGAATGGAGAGAATATTTATTTAATATGTAAGTTTTATATTTTATTTATATACTCCGTACTAATCTTTATAAAAAAATAAATTGAAAAAGAACTTAAAAGTTTACTTAATTTTGCGTAAAGTGTAATTCATTTACGAATAAAAGCAAATAATATACTTGATCTATCTTTCTTCGACTAGATCACGTTCCGGCTGACCCCCCGCCTTCTTATAAATTTATGAGTAAAAACACTGCGAATCAGCGTTAAAGACTTTGATTAACTAGGCGAGAGGACCAGTTTGATAGTTTAATGAATTACGTAACACGCTTTCAAATTAAAGTTATTTTGGGATATACCAAAAATACTTTGATCAGATAAGATGTTAATCAAGAACATGCCCTTCGAAATCCAGTATCTCAACCATACTTGCAAGTCTCTGAATAAATCTAATAACACAAAATAACCGATGACATTAAAATTACCAACAAAGGCAGCAGGAAAGGCTAGCTCGGTAGTTTGTCGTTTATTATTCCCTTTGGTCGTCAGAACGAATCCCGATGGCGATCGACGACGACGTACGCTCGCCGGCCATTGTTGACGTTTCTTTCATCACGCACGACCTGTTTCTGTCCCTCTCTCATTTTCATGTGTCGGCAACCAATCACTTTTTTTTTCTTTTTTTTTTTACCAGTATTTTTTTGTCTGGAGCAAGAAAAAAAAGAAATACAGGCCGGCAGATTTGTACCATTCCCGCCTATTGTTTTAAGAGATGGTATTGGGTCCAACAAGTTGCAGTGATCCGTTTGGTCACCACTAGGGTTGTAAACGAATCGAATCGAATATTCATAACAAATATTCATATTTGTTAAGATGGAGTGATATTCGAATTCGAATTCGAATTTGGTTCGAATATTTTTTAAGATTCGTATTCGGTTCGTTATATTAAACATATTCGGTTCGTTTAAATATTCGATTCGTTTAAATATATTTGGTTCGTTTAAAAATATAGTTCATTTAGATTTTAAAAATTTTTATAACCATTTGATATATATATATATATATATATATATATATATATATATATATATATAATTTGTATAATTAGATTTATATTCCTTATATATTTGTCAAACTCACGAATCGAATACCCTTGATTCATATTCGTATTTGATAAGGATTCGAATATTTATTCAGATTCGCTTTCGTATTCAAATTTGAAAAAATCGAATACGAATCACCTTAAACGAATTCGAATCACGAATCGAACAAAAAATATTCGATTCATTTACAACCCTAGTCACCACCCAAACTACTACTCCCTCCATCCCTTGAAAAACTTCTCTTTTTGATTTTTAAAGAATTTAAGGAGAGTTTATTTTGGTCATGACTTTCCAAAAATGCCCTTTGATGTAATGAGTAAAGTAGAATATGATGGATAGATTAATAGAAAAAAGTGTGAAGTGATAGGTAAGTTAAGAATTAATAGGGGTAAAAGTGCTTTTTAATATGAAAAGAGAAGTGTTTTTTGGGACAGATGAAAAGGGAAAGGGGAAGGATTTTGTGGGACGGATGAAGTTCGTAAATTATACTTCGAAGATCATATATTTTCTCCATTTCAAAATAGATTATAAATTTCTTTTCTCTTCTTTTATTTATTTGTGTGTTTTTATTAAATATTTGATAAAATATTCTTTTTTTACATGTATTGTTTTGTAGAACTTTTGACATAATTTTTTAATATGTGATTTTTATTTCTTATAGATATACCAATTTGTAAATAAAATAATTTCAAAAAATGATATATTTTGCCTCTTATCTCCCTATTTATAATCAAATTAGGGACAGATGGAGTATATGATTTTTCCATTAATGAATTAAGTTCTAACCTTCTACATTATATTATTTTCTCCTGTCCTGTAAAATTTTTTATTTTTCTTATCTTACATGTTTAAAACAACTTTAAGTTTAAAATTTATGCAATTCATCGGGAAAATAAGTAATTTAATCCCAATTCAAACCACTTATTGTTTATGAGGTTTGGCTAAAGCTATTTTAATTCATTTCATTTAAAAATTAGTGAAAAATATAAAATATATAGTAAAATTTATATATTTAAAAATTATATCAAAAGTTCTATAAGACTAGAGGTGGTATGATTATATTATTTGAGTTTGGTTCCGGTGAGAAAGGGATCTAATGAAAGAAATAAGAATACCTTATAGTCATTAGATCTTGATCCATCTAGATGATTCTTATGATTTACATACGGGGCATTTTGGGATTTTCGCTTCTTAGTCGTACCTTTCCTATTATATCTCCTTAGAATTTGCGCAGGACTTCCATACTTTTTGGCTTCCGTTTTTTCATCTGCTAAGTAATTCTCTTTGTTTCTTCATCAAAGGCCAAACTTTGCAGCAGAAATTGAGGTTTGTTCTCCTAATTTCTTTTCAATTTCTTGATCAATTCATCATCAACCCATGTTTCTTTTTAATTTTATGGCTTTTCTTGAGGTGGTGCAAAATTTCTCCGAGGTTAGAGATCGGCAAAACACTCCCAAAGATCTGAAATATTATGTGATTTTTTTGTTGGTTTCCTTTCGTGGTTCGTTTTTGTGTGTGTTGTTGTTAGTCTATTTGCTCCGCTTTGGTTCAAGGCACTATGATGAATACAAGGTGTTTGATAAAATGTCTTAAAGAATCAAATGAACAAAATTGGTGGTGAGGACATCCTTAATGCAGTCGAGGGATCTCTTAATGCCTCAAAACAACCTCAATATGCATTTCCATAAATTGATAATTGACACAATCAGATGTCTCACACAAGGTTATGCGTTCTTGTCGTGAATAATTTATAAACAATCTTTTGTTTGCTTCTTTATTTATTCTAATATTTAAGTTATGTGTATTTTTTTTGAATATATACCAACTCTTGAATCAATGTTTTTATTGCTTCTCTTGTACTCAAATT